AGACAGTATAACAGACAGCATAACAACAACCCCTAACCCACCGCTACGCACAACCACGCACTGATGATGTCACCTCGATTGGTGATGAAACGTTTGCAACCAAATTTTCCAGCTCAGCGAACAAGCCAACGACCACACCATATATATATATATATATATATATGTATATATATATATATATATATATATATGCTAGCACCACAAATCTCCAGTGGTGCTGTTGCGCGAATACCTCCATGAAACGTCCGACAAGCGGTCGTAAAGCAAGACATTTCAAAACTCTGTGTAGGGGACAGTCAAACAAAACCGAGTGCTTACAAGTCGACAACTATTGCCCTCTCCTATTATAAAAGAATAACACATCACACATTCAAGGTAAGGAATTAGGCCATCAAAAAGGCGTACCTTCCGTCGAAATAAATCGACCAGCAATTTTTGTAGCGCGGCCTTCAAATTTGGCATATTGGAAAGCGACGCCTTAGACCACGGTTTTCCACAGGTTTCAAAAGAGCATCCGCACGTAGTTCCTCCATAGAAAGATTCCACCATTGGGGAAGGAAACACGCCCGATGGAATAATATATGAAGAGGACGCTTTCCAAACCGATTTCGATGGGCAGCACTTTCTACGGGTTACCACATCTCGCGACACATCGGCGCTTATTTTGATCCGTTTACTGCAGGTGTTTGGAGTATGTTCCACAGCTACTCTTTTCCCGAAGGATTTCTGCGGTGAGTCAAAATAGAAAGTAACATTTATGATTTCGATCGTGAGCGCATTCTAGCTAAAGTGCATAAGCACTGGAGGTGCATGAGTTTGAATTTTATGAACTGGTCAGCCAGTCGAGCTGAATCGGACGACACAGCTAGATCAGTCTATTCACGAAAAAAGTCAGTCGCACATGGGTTCAAGAGTGTAGATGCACAAAACGGAAAGGTGGTCGTGGTCACGTATTCCCTTCCTCTTAGCGAAAGAGTCTGGTCTGAATTGGCAAACAGTGCATGCAAAGCTGGTTAACTACAAAGTGATATCAACACACTGTCAAACCGACCCAAGATAATCGCGAATATCGTGTAAATATCATGAAATATCTTTTGTAGAAGACTGGATTAGTGATATTTGGTCCGCAACATCGCCTGCGGACTGGATTAGTGTTTCTGTTTTCGAGCATTATCTTAATTTAACCTTTGTCGAATTAGCCATGATACCGTGATTCCATCCTATTCAAGATAAACAGCGGGTAAGACGGGAACTAGCTTGGCGCAGCCTGACTAAGTTCAACCTATCGTCGGCAGTTACCGCCGCCTGTCAGCTATAGCCTAAAAACGTTCGAAATGAAACAACCGATTAGAACGGAAAGATGCAAAATACTTCCAGTATAGTACACATTTTATTAAGTGCATCACTATACGCCCATGTTGTCAGGTTGCGACTGAGAAAGTGCAACATCCATGAGCAGAGATTCGTAGTGGATGCGCGATGAATTAAATCACATTCCTGTAAACAGTTCTTGGGATTCAATCAGGATCAATCAAATGTTCTGGAGGTGACTAAGAGGTTATTACTGGCAGACACGACACTTGAGGAACGGACATAGCTCTGAGTGGATGACATGGCTGATGGCATAAGAGTATGTTTGACTCTCGATCAGTTTGTTTTGACACCATTGTTTACTCACAGGAACAAGGTATTGCAATGGGATCTCCAATATCCTCAGTTTTAGCTAATATTTATATGGAGGACTTCGATGGATATCATTGTCGACCGAAAGGTTTTGGCGTTATGCTGACGAAATAACGTAAACAGCTCCCACGACTATATTAATAGCTTAAATCCACACAATAATGTTCATCAGCATGGAGATAGAGTCCACCTCTGGTACACTACCCTTCCTGAACCGTATAACACATAACGGTGATGGGAAGTTGGAAACTACGATCTACCAGAAACCAACAGACACAGGGACCGTCTTAAACTACTCATCAGCATACCCAAAGCCCGTGTACGCCGGTGATGTCTCATCGTTGTTACGTCAAATGAGAGCGCTGTGCGCTGAAGATTTACATAGGACAAACTGCCAGGGAATGGCATGCCGAAATAGGTGAGCATAAAAGGAGGATAAACAAACCACCATGGAATGTTGAAGAATACCAAACGATGGTCAAAGACACAGCGATGTTGCTACATACCTTAGACACGGGACAGATCTGGATAATGTGGAAGTTTCAAGACGGGGACCGCGATTCACACCACAGCGGCCGAGTTGACACTGTGTTTGTGGTTGTCAGATCACGTAGAATCATTAGCCAAAACAGGGGGGTGGAAATCCCAGTCCGACCAAAGTTCACAGAATCCCTCTTACACAACTATCGTAGCACTAGCTCACCCACACAGACGGACGGAGAGACCACCACATGAATCAAACGGAACCAGAAGAACTAGACTTTAGGTTGGACCCCAATCCATGAAGGTTTCCCCATCGGCTTAACACTTGGTTACCCACCCTAACACACAAAATCTCTCGGTCGACACCAATCAGTGATTTAGCTTGACTCAGCTGATTGGTTCTCCCTCCGCCTTAAATCTCGACCAACCTCGTAACCTAGTCACTTAGTCTAAACAAGCTTTTGTGTCAAAAGCGAAACGTTGCCCAGCCATAAAACTGCCGATTGTCACCAAACTTTTTCGAAAACGAGTTCTTGGGGTTTTTATGAGGTGTTTCTATCAGACTTCCGATATGTCTTTACAGGAATTCCTAAGTGTCCTGATTAACCTGTGAATGTAGTCCAGTGCGAATTTGAAGCATCTCGAAGAATTCCCAAACTCTGGCATCAAACCGAAACGTTGCATATAACTCCCCAAGAAATTTTATATCCACACCGAGTCATCTTTAGATTTTTATCGGGACACAGTGATTCAATCGTGTCATTGTAAGAATTTTCTCGGCATATATTTTGAACATATCAAGACGTATCGCCAGAAGGATGTTCAGCATACACTCTCAATTGCCAGTCAGGTAAGTTCGCGGAGATAGCGTTTTAACACACTGCTCATGGGTCTGGCAAAGGTTTGCAAAATAGTGTCGTTCCTTTTATCTGCACATATTCCACATGTGCAGCAGCATAAGCGAATGTATAGTGTGCAATTTGAAAAACAACCATAGTAATTGAGACAGGCTAGACAGTCTAGAAACTTGGTGGTCGCCGGTGTCGACAGCCGCGGCAATCGCACTTGTGAACATAATTGTTTCACTGGTGTCATCACCTAGAAACCCTGTGAAATCTAATGGTGACGAGGCTTTATTGCACTCCTTAAAAAGGGCATTCTTACTTCTTACCACGAATGGTTATTCATGGCATCAATCATCCTGGTCGGGTTAATTTCGCATGACGAAAAAATCTGGCGGAAATTGATAAGGTCATGACGAAGTTCCACAACTTTCACCAATATTTTTTATATAACTGAATTAACTGATTCTGCTCAATTCCTACCTCGGCAGAGTACGAGGTGGTGACAGACCACCAGTAGCTACATCAGTCAGTGATTGCACTGGGTCCACATAGAACGGAGAGAAACCCATTCATACAAGCCAGGAAATTTAAAGGAGGAACCTGTCTAGACCACCCAAGTAAATGTAAGACCACAGTCTGGAAAGACATTGGTTCCGTTGTCGATGCGAAACAGAAGTAGAAGCATTCAGATTCCCTGATCAATTTGAGCAATGCAGTGAGAGTAGAAAGGTTCCGAGATGAAGTCTATTCCTGCTCTCCGTCCTGTAGCAAAAGGCACTGAATGCAGTGCAGCCCTCAGTGTCTATATAGATCTAAAACAACCAGACCAATTAATAAATCCAGGGCATTCTCAGAGTGGTGCTTAGGTTTTTTTAAGTGCTTGAGACTCTTGGTGCTTGGACATCTTGGTTGCGAGAAAAATCAACGGTATCTTACCTCGTTTTGTATATTGGGAACCTACGTGGACTGGATAGCATGTGAAATCACTGCTTTCTATCCGTTACGGTACAAATGTAAAATAATGCTTGCTTTTGTCCATACGGTTAGGAGAATTTGCACCTCAGATACAGTCATCGAGGAAATCAGAATGTTCAAAGATGAGCTGCTCCATCGAAAAGCACCTCCCTCCAAATGATGAACCGAAAGTGGCACCCACAGTACCGAAACACAACATTTATATCGATGTTCATGATCATGCTATTGGCCTATCTAAAGGAACACCAAACGATTCCCTGCACCATACTTGCAATACAGCATAGTTGTGTACGAAAGCATATACACGGGCTAAGCCAGCGCAGACAGTCAGAATACCGACATCCATTTTTTTATCTACGACCTATCCCGTTCAACAGCTCATCTGTAGGTATGGTGATATACATGGTTGGAGCTCACAGAAGACATGAGAAGCCAGCAAAAGGGCACGTGCCCAAAAAACTCCGAACGACATTAGCAGCCTCTAAATCAACTCTGAACGAATCCAGGTTCAACACACTTATCGCCAAGCACTTAGTCGACACAGAACATATTTGAACTCATTTCATCTTTGCGTGTCTTAACATCAAACAGTCAGCCTTGGGGGCAAGATAAATAACCGTTTCAGGTCATTTCTCTGTGTTCAGTGAGAGGTTGTTTTACACTTATGTAATTGCCTCAAGTTGCACTATATTCTGGATCTTGTGCTGCCTCACATCTTTTAAGGTGAAAGAGAGTGTTTGAACTGAATTCATCCTGAAAAGGTGTTCTTACTACCTTGTTCAAAATAAGGAACAGGGTTGAACAAAATGTCCTTCGTTGGAGAGCAAAACGACTGCTCCAACCATAAAAAACCTTACACTTTCAGGTACCTCATAAATTAGCTACTGGAAACATACAGCCTAATAGGTATAGCTACAAGAATGGCAGCGAGTGGCTTGCGCCTCTATATAAGTGTATAACTGAGAAAGAGTTTCCGTGCGTTAACTCTGTAGGGTCATGTGAGTGGATAATGAGGGGCAGTAGTTGAAATGGATGCTACTGAACAGACTGACTACCAATTTAAAGAAAAGATGTGATGCAACGATTGGGAAATCACGGAACCCCCGATATGAGAACCACGAATCATCAGTTGAGTTCAGCTTTATAGCTACACACATTTCAAAGGTGTACTTTGGTCTTCACAGAATCCAGAGCTTACTCTGTCTCTATAAAAGGTCATCTCAACCTAAGATACTTTCTTATAAATCATGGCAGGCGGAATATCAAGCCAAGGACAAGTGCAGGGGTTATGAAGTCAAACACCTACAGATTTGTGTACTGTGCACTTCTCTTCACAATTCACTTTCCACTTCAAGGTTCACTCCTCGATTTGTATAATCAGGCGTTCCATGGAATACAGATTGGTCAGTTTATTTTGCTGACTAACAAGTAGTGCTTGCCCACAAGGTTTACTGTCCAGAACAGCCCAATCTGGGTCACCGGTATCATTGTCAGACCACCAGAGGACTACTCCTTAGCTAATAACGTCATAATAATGTCACATTCCTTAGCAAAACTATGATCTTCATCATCGAGTGCCAGTTTCACATGTGGCGCGTTTCATGCTTCAACGGTACAAAAACTCTGCTCGGTTACACTGGATGTCTTTCTTTACCAGTGAGCCACCCTTGCCTGACTGAAACGTTGAGCCGTTTCTGTGACTGAGTTACACTAAAATTCAATAAATTGCGAATGCCCTTGCTGTACGTGGGTATTAACGCACCTCACAAAGGGTATGGTTGAAATACTCGGCTCACATACCAATGGCGAGAAAGCATGGACTAAGTTTCACTCCATACAATCGCCTGACAAGCATGAGCCTATAAATTCTTCACCATCAGGACTTGAAAAATTTTCGCTACATAACTGGTATGTACATTCGCGAAAAAACGACGGCGTCGCTAACAGACTGGTGAATAACACATGTTTAACATGACATTTGGGCAAACCGTACCGTGCCGGACAAAACCGTTGAACAGCAAAGATGAGTCAGGTGATACAGAATGACCCAGAGACATGGGTCGTTTCATTTTTGATTCATGCGGAATTTGGGAAAAGCCACGAAAAATCACGACCGACTAAAATGCTTTTGACGGAAACGGAAACTTGGACGACCTATAATGCAGCAATACTAAAAAATGTTTTCCACAGCCTAGCATTTCATTCCGCTCCAGGAGTCCAGACATAGGCATATCCGCGCGGTTTTCTCACCAATTCGAATGATTACACCTCATAGCAATAGTTGCATAAAAATGCATCAGAATCACTATTTGTAACCTCATATGTCACGTTGGTTAATCCTCTGGTAGTGACTATAGATCTGGCTACCCCACTCGTGCTGTTCACTATCGTCGATTTTATTCGGCCTTTCCTAACGTCTAACAGGTTAGTCAGGGAAACCAAAGGAACCACCCATCAAAGCTAAGTTAGATGAAGTAATGTTGACCGTATAACGTCAGATACCGCATATTCGATTTCATCAACACACCTATTATGTACGAAATGCCTAGTTTCTATGGAGATACCCGACAATTTGATTTCCTAACTGATTCCAGCACCCCAGCCGTTGCAGTTGGTGGCTAGTGGTCTTGTCCCAACGTTATCTCAACCATTTCAAGCCACCAAATGATAGTGCACAGAACTATGAACTTGATCCGTTTGGCAAGACTTACACCATCACCATCGTCATCATCATCATCATCATCATCATCATCATCATCATCATTGCTGTCACCACTGACAGAAATACACCAGCAGTACATACTGATGCTTAACTGACATACGGCTACGAAGGAATAAATTACCAGTAAAGAGTGAAAAGGGGAGGGTAAGACATTAGTGGGAAAAAGTCCCATGTCCTTAAGGAAAACTATTTAGAATGGGGTGCCTACATCTTTTGATAGCACTAAAATTAGCACATCTGTGCATCATATTGGAGACACCACCAGCAGGATCGACCCAGCGTGTTCTGGAACCTTACCCGACCTAAGCCCCTCGAGCGAACTCTAGCTAGAAAGTCCGGCTAGTAAGTGACAGTATGCACGTAACTAGAATCTGCTGCGTACCATTTCCCGCAGGGTTTCAAGCCACCTGCAAGCAGGATCACGTGGGCTCCAGTCAGGAAGTTACGAAGATTCCACAACACTCAGTCTGACAGTAGCCACTTTCAGTTCATTTCCATGTCATGACCCGCCCTCCTGAATCTTTCACCAAGGTTCACCGGCAACTGCAAAACAAGCGTGTGCCCAACGAATGAACGGTCGAGTGTGGAACTTCAGTAGATGAATATGACTCAAATGAAGAATAGGTCTGCCAAATCCACGCTTGATTTTGTAATACGGTTGATTTGGCACGTAAGACGATGCATCAGCATTAGTTTGTTTCTGCTGAAGATTAAAAAGGTGACTCCAATGGTTGGTTGGTGAACTGTAGGGCTTCGAGAACAGATACAATCCTGAGTTTTGCATCATCTAATTACTGACGCAAGCAGTCAGCGTTGCATATAGGCATAACTTTTTCCAGCGGCATTTAGCTTCTGGGAATGCACACAACGGGATAACCATCCAAGTCAGCCAATGCCGGTTGGGAACGCATCCTTATCGAGGACTAAATGACTAACTCGGAGAAATAATATTAAAAATGGTTTGTCTTTAGGGACTTGAGGCGTGGAACAAAATGAAATATGGTGCCAGAGTAGATAATAAACTATGATGAGGTGACTCCTAAAAACGGCACACCCACACTTTCAATTTTCTGTAAAAAGCGCGAAAGGTACGATAAGGAATCGCTTATGGAGGTCCACTGCAAAATATTTTCCGGTTTCTTGCCCTTGGCGAGATTGGTCTTATCTGAAATTGTGCTTGTCGATTAAATGCCCAGAGCATTTCAGGGTGTGTTGCCAAAAGTGTAATCTAATGAAATATTAGTAATATTAAGACGACAGAAACGGACTAGCAAACCTCGAAGTCTCTTAGCAAGAAATACTTTGGTCCCTTCGAGAATAATGATGTCAACTTGATGACTTTCAACTTCGCCAAACTTTTCAATAATACAGTTAATGACTGACTGAAGAATTGCTTGTGAAAACCGTAAAATACGCACCTAGTGAGTAGTGTATCCTCTGCTAAGTAACCTTTTCGCAAAAGTGATATGACCGACAAATGTTGAACCTGATGAAGCCAACTTATCGGGTGTAATGATTTGAGTTTTCTAGGAAAGAGATAAAGTTATTTAAGTAACCAATATGGTGTGTTATCCCGTTGTCGGGCCGATAGGGCAGAAGATGATTGCATTGATTTGTTGATATAATATATCAACAGTATCATATTGATATATTATTAGTGGGGCATACTGATATATCAGTAAGTGAGCTGAACTTTGGCACTACTCCAATATACAAAAGTAGCCAGAAGTTTGGGAAGAAATGTTAAAACCATGACCCCTGGATAGGTTAACTTCCTTTACACCACGATGTTGTAGCACTAATACACTTGATAGAATAATCAGTAACAGTAACAGTAATGTGATGGATCTGTGTGAGATGACATACACAGATAGGCATTCACCAAAAGTTGACAATTTCGTGTTCATTGAGAACGCTTACTCCTAGTTCAAGCAATGCAGCAAAACAGAGTAAGGGAGAAAACGCCAGTTCACATCATGATCGAATTTTAACTGTACGGCACCAGCAAATGCATTCTCCTATTTTACATGTGCGGTAATAGAAAGTGAACCAAATAACACCATTCCACATCTCCGTTGAAATCCATACACCCCGTCGCTAGGCTCATGCAAACGTAGTCTACACGGATTCGGTTAGGGTTTTCTAAAACTCATGCTTTCCTTTTGACTTAAAAACCCAGAACAACTTGCACTGTTAGTAAACATGTAGTTTTCAGCTGACATATGCTTAAAATATGAAAAACAAACTTGGTGCAAATCACACTGAAGCCTACTCTAGAAACCCCCCTTGACAACGGAAATTCAAAAGTGAGAGCGCTTGATGGGCGAACGTAACCAATGTGAAATAACGAGTTACCTGAGACCAACTGGTGGGGAGCAGGAAACGTCACCAGTCGCTCGAATTGATGATTCTGCCTGTTTCACCATGGAAGTTCTAAGGTTTTATTACTGCAGTCCCTTTTGAAAACGTAGAACAACTATGATGTTGCAAAATACTGAGAAGCTTCGCATAAGAAGGGTATGCACAAAATGGGGTAATCCTATGAAGCAAACTTACGGAATTGGCTGAGCACGACCGATCACTTCGAAAGAAGTGAATGTGGAACCGGCTAACAAGTTGTTGTATTAACCTGAAATGGTGATAAGTACATTGTGAAAAGCTGAAAATATAAAATATTTCTAGTTAGTTTTACTAAAAACGTATGATGGACAACCCAGGATGACCTACAGCAGATGAGAGAAAACAGGACAATATCTTCAAAAGATAGCGTTCAGTTGTAGCACCCTTCCGGTGCCTAGCTGCCATGCCACCCGAAGGAAGCACGAGGGCTTGGATACTGCCAGATTGCCCAAGCCTAGACAGGGAAAGGCGAGAGGCGGAGGTGGGATTCGAACCAGGGACCTTCCGGTCAGCAAAATTCGCGCTCTAACCACTTGGGCCATCTCGCCCGCACTATCTTCAATATTGTGCTACATGAGGAAAACAGAACAAGAAAAAACTAAGCTTCCATAGCCTACAGAGAAAGCCCACCCGTTTAACATGCTTGCAAATAAGCGGCACAAAAATCCGGTAAATTGAATGTGACGGTTTCCTGCACTACCTGTAAGCAACGCAAACTCCTACTAGATAAAACAGAAGTTAAGAACGACTACGGCGCTGCTGATGCAATTGCTGGATAAACTGATGCGGTACAAATTGACCGTTGGCATACCACTGATGCTGGGGAAGGCAGGAACAGTGCTTTCAGCGATTAAAGAGAAATACACACAAAACAGTGTACAGGAAATACAGTAGGACTCGCAAGGGCTACCAATATACTTAAAGCGAAAAGACGTTCAATTCAAAGAATGGCACTACTCAGAAAACGCTTAGATTGGAGCGCGACATAGATGGCAATGCTAAAACTACTGGATTAATATAGTTACATGAGTAAAGTGAATACATATCTATTGCACAAGAAATTGGTCATCGTCAGGAATTGACACAAAATCCTGTCAAATTGGTCACATAAAAGGTAACCTAACATGAGAAGAATTTTATTTGATCGATTAGCAACTACAGCGAGACTGCTTGCACGAAACTTGTACCGAAAAATGGGGTCGCATCCGGTGCTGCCCACGTTAGTTCCAGAACACCACCACCGCACTTCTGCAGATTTTGCAGTTGATTCAAACTTAACAGGTACGTACTGCCACCAAATACTTGGCGTTCAAGTACTGGTATGAGAGAGACCTCCCTCAATCGTTTTCTATGGTGAAACAAACCCGATTCATTTAACAATTATCGGGTGCCGAAATGAGGGGGGCTTGGTGACAACGGACGCAGTGGGAAAGTCTGCTGCTCCGGATTCTTCGTGCTTCGGAAGTTCAGCTCAGGATGGCGCTGTGAAAAGTGGTGATTGACTGACCGAATTCGCAGCCTTCAATCTACTTGGGATATTCAACAGATGTTCCCAGTACCCGAGTAGGCGTCCATTCACTTCGCTCTCTAGTTGCAGTCGCACTGCATCATATAGGATGCACCCTAGTAGATGACCGATGGGTAGCATTTGTTGAGGACTGTGCGCCCATCCCCCGTTTAGCAGGAACTGGCAATTGATGCTGATCAGACCATGCCACTGTACCCGCCGTGTTCAACCATTGTGTTGCCACTCGGAACATACTAGGGCTTACGAAACCAATCTAGGTTAGCTGCCCTGAAGTGCCCGAAAGTCCCCTTCAACCGCTGGTTGAAATCACCTTGTCGGTTCAGGTAATCTCCGTTGGAGGGTCCTTTCTCCACCCAACAACATCCTTACAATGGCCAACGCATCGAATTCCATCAAACTATCGACGAGCCACATCCCCGAAGCGGTCGGATCAACTTACTTTGGAGAGGGCCGTTTAGGCCCTCAAAGACAAGCAAGCGAACTAAGCTTACCGATATCTGATAATGCTCCTCTGCTGATACCAATCTGATGGCGTATTGGTGTATACAGTGTATATAAGTTGAGCTTCAGTGCAAATAATCACGAAAACGGTGCTCACTGAAGACGGAGGTCATACTGGGCCTCAAAGTTTACTGGTTATCGAATGCGACGTCGAAGTGGATCGAAGTGCAAAGCACAAACATCGATTGTGGAGAGGTTTAGCTGTCAGTCTATCGAGTCACTCGCTGTCCGACGATAGCTCAGCTGGTAGAGCGGAGGACTGTAGTGAATCGCAGCTATCCTTAGGTCGGTGGTTCGAATCCGCCTCGTCGGACCAATTTTCAGTCTTTTTTTGCTTTTGCAAATGCCGATTTGTATATGCCTGAAGAGTGTTGTTTATCGAATGTAGCACTTGACACCTATGATGAGAATTTAGACTTTGAGCGATCGCACGCAGCCGGATGACTCACGTTAGATTAGTTTGATTGGACGCGAACATTCGTGTATTTTAATGTTCACATAATGGTCTCAACAGAACGTAATGTTATCATCTAAACAATTGGTATTTAGACTTCTCTCAGGTAATCCTGATTCTTCCACCTCCAAGAGTTCTTTCCGGACACTGTTTGAAGTATTCAGAATAGCTCAACAACTTCTTAAGTTTACCTCGAAATGATGGGTCCACAGCACTTCAATCGCAGTTCTGTGTTCCTCCGCAGATCACTTCTCCAAAGTGACCAGTTTTGGTCAGTCTCGTGTGTTTCGACATTGAGGTGGATACAGAATGCAATGCAGGTTCTTAATCATTATCCAGTAAAACTTGATTACGTTAGCAAATACAAGATACTAAAATGGAGGAGTGTTAGGGCAACGGACGCAAGGAGAATGTCGGTTTCTCAGGGTTCTGGTAGACCAAACCTGGAAAGTTACCATAAAATGATTCGATGCTGCTGTTTGATTTGGATAAATATATTTTAAAGAGTAAGTCATTAGGTTCCGGTGTAATTCACTC